TCCTAAAGTGTCAAATTGTCATAATACACCCTTGAGAACAACCAGCCTATGACATAGTGTAAGTCATACACATGTGGATGTGGGTGAGATTTCCAGTAAAGCCATAAAAAACACCTTGCTGAGGGAGAGATGGGAAACTAATTATGAAGGATCTAGTTACAACACATAATGCAGCATCTTCATTTTCAAGGATAGTCATATTAATTAATGGCTCTTACCCAATGTAACCTGCACCAGGAGACAAGGTCTGACAGTTTTACCATTACCAATTAGGTCTGTCTTCTTGCAGATGAGGTGGGCCAAAAAGAGGATTTAATGAGCTTTCATTGTTGACTAACTGTTAAACAGGTCTCCTATGTCATTTTCATCTCAAACAGAGGAAAACACAAGCTAAAGAGAAAAGTCTCCTGCCTTCTTTCCTCCCACTCGAATGTATCCATCACTTAACAGAGGACAAACCTTGACAGCTCTGCCAAAACAGCAATCAGCAGATTGCTTGCTGCTATACTTGTCGAAGACAGAGCGCTACTGTAGCCAATAAGCAAAGTGATGGACACTCCCTCAATTACGGAGGGAAAGGGGGGGCCAGTAACGATCCAGAGCCCATTCTGGACTGCATTGGTTGTCTTGTCTCATCTTCTCAGAAACACCAAGACTTTTTTTTTTTACTCTTCTTGTTTCTTTCTGTATTCTGCTTAAGGCAGAAATGCTGATAGTGAAGGCAGGCCCAAGTGCCTGTAATAAAGTGATGGTACGGGTCTGAAGCAGACAGCCCTGCAACTGGAATCAATGCTTACATCATTACAAAGACCTTGTCACTTAGACTGCCACTATCATTTGATGTGGAGGCAGATATCATGCACTTATACAGACGAGATTACATTTAAGGTTGAGATAAAATAAGGAGGTTTAAGGGATTAATGTGAACCAACTCCCAGATAATCAAAATGACCATCCCAGATTCGTAAAATAAAACTGCTCAACCCCCAACGGAAAGCAGATGGCTA